TGTTTTGCCATTGTTGTTGTTGCTGTTGTTTCCTCGGCCCACTAAGCAAGCCAGTGCTAGAGGCCGAGCTTTTGTTTTATATAGGCTTAACTTGCATTTTACCAAGGACACATGCCACTTCCTRGGCCCAGTAAGCTAACATTGTGCGGCTGCACGTATTATACAATATATGTACACACTGTACTGTAGTCAGTGCTGCCAGAATTTTGAAGGCAAGAATTGCTAGAATTTCAAAAAAAAGTTGCTAAAATTGCTAAAAAATTTATTAAAATTGCTAAAAGAAATGGCCAAATTTTGTTAAAATTTTATATGTTAAATTTATTMCTTTTATTTATGATTAAGTTTTTAAATGATAGTTAAAATGTCGTCCAATTGTTCCAATATACTTTCTTCATCATTAATAGCATATTTGGAGCTGCATCTGCTATGCATATCGCGTCGCCCACTTCAATAAGCTCAAGGCTTAGAAATGTTGAGACAATTGTGCCTTTACTATTGCTGAAATAGTTAATAGCAACTCCTAAAGATTTAAGAAAATTTAAACAATTCATCTAGCAAAAGACTGAATCACCAATATCAGCCCGCAAATTTTCCGCAAAGTGCTCGGCAAGAACATTTTTTATTATATGACTTCTCTTTGTTCTGCCCAATTTTATGTTTGCTGCCGATTGGCAAGCTGCANGCATACAATTTAAAGCTCAGCGCACTAATGACACTCGATCACTTTCGATGAATTTGTAAACTACTTATTGTTCACAACTATTGAACTATTGTTCACAAGTTTGTGCATTTATCGATATTGTTATGATTTTGAACAAGTTGAGTTCTTTTTAAGATGATGTTATTGTGAGATCACAAAAATCACAAAAATCACAAAATTGCTAAAAGTTGCATAATTTTTTTTAAAAATAGCTATTTTTGTGGCTAATAGCAATTTAAAAAAAAAATTGCAAACTCAAATTCAAAATTGCTAGATCTAGCAACTTAATGGCTAAAATGGCAGCACTGACTGTAGTGCTCAGGGCTTCGCGACGCCTCGCCCTGCCCGAGTCGATGCTGCTGGGATGTAGCTGGGAGACGTGTAGTCAATGACCTTTGTTATTTCCAGTTACTTAAGGCATTCCCAGCACTTGGCAGTTCCAACAATTTTGCACTTTGAAACTTGGCCAGGTAATATCATAATAAGATTAGAGTGTATAAGCCCGTGTATTTGATGTAATCTTAGACTTCCCTCAAAGCTATTAAAACACTTAGCATCATACTGCGTGTAATCCGAAACCACTCACCGGCAATTTGCAGAGGACCTTTATGAAAACCAACGATATGGGGGTATGATGCTTACAAATTTATATATATTGTTGCAAATGATGTAAATTTTGAAAATGAATCAAATCGTTTGCGTAAACAAATTATAATTACCAACACATGCTGAAATTTCGAGTAATTAATAACAAAACACTTGAAAAATGTAACGCAAATATTTATAGTTTTATTTGATTGCAGCATTAATATTTGGCATATCTTTGATTATGTTTGCGCAATGAAATAACGCCGCAAAAATAATGAAATCTGTGAGTCGGCGATGGCAAATAGACGCGGAATGTATACTATGTAAAATATTAAACGCTTAGCGCACACTGTGTACATTTGCATTTGCATAAACAAATACGGAATATAATAAATATTTATCTATGCATAACGGGACATATATGTGTGTACGTTTCCTATTTTTGGTTGTCCGCCCAAATTGAATAACAGGAAAATGTTATTTGTAGAACTGTGACATTGCCGCAGTGTCGACCGAGCCCTCTGCCCTTCATCTTTCGGCTGGCTGGGATTTATGTAAGTGACATTTATCATACGCCAAGTTGGCACTGAGCTTATCGATTGACTGCATGGCTGCATGAGGGCTGGATAAGGAGGAGCAGCAGGAGGAGCAGGAGGACAGGGGGAGGCACATAGACGGCAAATTGTCGTGGGCAGCACAGTCAGCAAATTAACACTGGGCACCAGCCACGCCTTTTATGACTTAATAGCTGAGCTGACTTGTATAAAATAAGTATGTCAGTCAGCAAACATTGACCGAGCGGAGAGACCATGTTCCCATTTAGCACACTGTCAACTTTTGTTGTGGTCACTAATGATGACAGCCGCCCAGCCAAAACATCAACACACACTCCAGCTGACACACACACACACACACACATATCGGTGTAAATATCGTGTGTGTGTGGGTGTTGGGGTATCTGTCTGCTTTTGTGGATAACGCCAACTGCCGACTGCAAAATGCACAAATAGTCCTTGGCTCTCGCATGCCACAATGGTGTAGCCGTGACTGCTCCCCCCGGCCTGTTCCCGTCTCCCCTGTATATCGGGGCCCGACTTTTGTAGGTAACGAGCGGAGCGTCAAAACAAGCTGATTTGATTGTTTGTAATTAAAAGTGGACGCAGCGAAAATTAAATGACTGTCTACAGGACACAACGTATCTGCATGTGTTTGTATAAGCCTCGATGCACATAAAAGTTGATGTCCACGTGCTGGGTTCCTGCTTTCAATTTAAACTCTGAAACCTAATAAAAAATAAGCGAATAAGGCAAGCTCTGTGTGCTCTACGTGCCACGACCTCGACGACAGAAGCTGTAGAAAAGCGCACGGGAAAATTAAATCCCGATTGCTTGAGAAAACTTTCCTGGGTAGTTTATTTGCCTTGTGCCTAACGACTAATTGATACGCCGCCGCACTGTCAAAGCTGGAGCCATTGGAAGGGTCTTAAGGGACTTTACTCACTTAAAGCTGAGCCCACATCGAACCAAGAGATAGATGTCTGTCAACATATGTATTAACAGCTATGAGTAATTGGCTGGTTGGTGACAACTAGAGGGAGTGACTGTCCCTGCGCCGACAATGAACAGAAAAATAACGGTATATAAAAGCAATGTAGAAGTATAGAGAAGCTCAAAATCTATGCCGTATTGGATATGGTATATGATTTCTATATATTCCTAAATAAATTCCAAATATAGTACAATAGTAAATAGTAATTCTCTAAGAAGTCGAGCTCAAGTCTCTGGAAGTACAATGTTTATTTTATTTATTTAATGACAATAAATGAGAGCGAGTTAAAGTATTTACATTAATATCTATACTTACATTCAGCAGTGGAAACGCCAGTTGAACCAAACCCATATACGAAATATGTTGCATGTTTAGATTCCGCCCATTCTCAAATAATAAATTATCGGGGCAGCGCTTCCCTGAAGACTTAGTTCTATTTGTACTAATTATAACCATTAGTTGTTTGTACCTTTAGCCAATTAAAATATATATAAATTATATACCCATCAAAACAAAAGTCCTATAAATAATTCAAGCAAACAATGCACTGTGGTCCAAATGCTAAGAATTATATATATATTCATTTATTTATGGGTCACTTTATCATAAATACATTTTCGGTATACAAAATTGTAGTGTTTTACATATTTAGGTTAAGTGTATTATAATACAGTCTGAGAAAAATTGTATAGGAACAGAACTAGATTTCTATATCGTTTCTATTGCCTATTGAACGTAAATGATATGAAATGAACTGTTTATCTCAAGTTGAATAGGAGACATAGTTCCACTGATATTCGCCGTAGGACTGACACCAAAGTCTGCGGGGGACTGTGAATAAACGGGGGTAAACCGCAATCGACACCGCAATTAAAACCGCAATTAAGGCAATAATTTACATGAAACATAATTGTTTAATACAATTTCAAAGCTTACGGTAATTAGTGGGTTGATAGCCCGAGATATTATTTAAGACCAATTTACATTCCTTAACTTTGATAATCGTTAAAATGTCTGATAGGCCAATTATAGAGCTAAGTGCTTGTTAGCTCTTTTGTTTCAAGCGAAATAATATCTGGACAAATAATTGTGTACTGGCCAAACCTTTGGCAACTCGGAAAGCAATCAAAACAATGGGGCATTGGGGTTGCTGTCTACCGCATTTAATGCATTTAAAAAGGCCACTTTGGCTGCACAGGCATTGGGGTCAGGGGTCAGAGAAGGGGAAGCGGAGGAGAGAGGGGGTAGCGACCATTGGCAGGCAATTGGCCAAAGGAGCTTCAACAGCCTGTTGCTTCTACGTTGGCTAAGAGCCGGTTCCAGTGAGGACTAAGTCAAAGCCTGTTGCGGTAGAGCAACAACTGTCTGGATAAAAGAGAGCCAAAGCTCGTTCACTCGCTCGCTCTCTCGCTCTCTCGCGCTGGGCTGCTGGAAAGCTTTTGCTCTCTTTGCGGCGTTCGTGGCATGGCCAACGCTGGTCGAATGGAAGCGCTACTCCCACAATGTGCTCGTGCGTGGTGTAGGTGTATGTATCGTGTCCGTCGATTTTCCAGCCTCGTCGGGACTCGGCTGTGACAGTTCAGTCTAGGATAAACGGTTACGGCGGCCACAACACGAGCGCGCGTGCGATTAGCCCAAGTTGGAGCCTTTCAAAGAGTCAAACAACGGAAGAGAGCCCTACCACCGCAAGCGTGTTGCGTAGTGTAAAGTGCTGCGAAAGCGAAAGTGCAAACCGAAACACACCGTCAAATATTTGTGTGGGTGAAAGAGTGTTAAAGTGTGTTCTGGGGAGTTCTCCCGCACGCAAATGTGAACGCAGCAGAGCCCCAGCCATATTTCTCACGGAGCACAACAAAAATGCAACTCCACTTATATTTGGATCAAGGCAATCAAATCGAATAAGTTTTGTGTGCTAATAAAGGCAAATCGTGACGCGTTTTCAATTGGTGCCAAAGCAAATCCATACAAATAAATGTTAAGCAAACACCACCGACTTGGTCAATTCAATCCAATTCAATTACCTATCCCAACATCAATTGTGTGAAGATAATCAATTAGAAATATTCATTTTGAAATCGTATCACTTGCGACAGCGACAGCAACGCGAGCTGATCAAATATATTTTCCGAATAGTTATTTGCAATTTGAAAAACCTCTGAATCGCTATCAAGAATTTGCAGCAGCTGCAGCGCCCACCACAACAGCAACATCGGAAAAATGTTTAACTTTTGGATAATCGTTTTATGTCTAGGATTACTAGCAATTAAGCCAACAAGTAAGTTCAATAGGATTGCGAACAAGCTCTTTGTGATCTTTGTCACTGGATTATAATTAAACTTTAATTGAAACAGTTGCTCCATGCTGTTGCAAAAAGTTCTTAATTTGTGTCGAAATATGTGTCACATAGTGAAATAAATCCACCAACATTGTTGACTCCATGCGACTTTTTCATTTGCCAGTTTTTATGGCTATTAGTCTGCAAACTTTTTATACAATATCTGCCACGCCAAGGATTCCATTATTACTGTTGTAAATTACCAACTTCTATTTCATAAACTCTGATAACAATATATATATTAAATATATAGAAGCTGGTTATTTACAACTGATATGATTGCATCTTTAGCGTGATAGATATATACATGTGTTTGATATACTAATATAATCTAATACTTGCCAATAAATGTTGGAAATTTTTCATTTAAAGTGCGACCATTCTTAGTGTGTAATACTTATGTAATCCTCATGCAGATTATATAGGTCAAGTTGAGTCTAAATCAAAAGATCTGTTTATATACTGATTTAAAATCATTTCAAGCATCATACTTAATAATATTTATATATAAATTTGATTTTTACCATATTTTTGAGAGATTATGAAATTATTCAATATTAAGAATGTTAGTTTTAAATGATTAACTTTTACCTTATTCTATAAATTAAAACTCAAAAATGTTCTATATAGTAGCCTGGATCTGAACTCAATTTGGGAAACTCTGCTCGAAACGTGAAAATTTAATAATAATAAAAATTACAGCTGGCAACTTGTTAGAATTCAGTCTGAGAACTCACATTCAAGATAGTGGAATATGACTACTGCACTAGAAATCGAATTAAAATATAATATTTTAAAATTATTCAATTTAAATACACATATTTATTGTATACAAATTTGTTTAGCTGGGAAGATTTTCTGCCACCATAATTATATTTTGCTTATAATTGTAAAATTAGAGCTTTTTATTTTATTCAAGTGAGTGTGAATTGCAATGTCAAATGTCAAAGTTTCAATAGAAAGGTCGACATTTCGTTGCCAGAGAAGGCCAGAGAAGGAGACAACCAATTGTCAGAGAATGCTATAATAGTTAGGTCAACATACCATCTAATAGTCATAGAAGGCTATTCTATTTTTAAGCGAATAAATCTCTGAGATTACCTCAATCCTTAACTTGCCAGCTAATTGTCATAGAAGGTTTACTCTGACATTACCTCAGTCCTTAAATTATCCGCATGATTTATCTGAGAGCATGCACAAATAGTTTGCATTTCACCGCAATTTCTTTGGCTATATAAAACCGCAAATACCGTAAGATTTTTAAATAAGCAACATCGAGAGTGGCTAATACAGTGGAGAATGTAAATATGCTACTTTTTGCCGTAATAATGTAAGCAAGCGGATGGCTTATTTAAGTTGCATATTTATGCAATTGCTTATTGTGTAATCCGCCTTAAGCTACTGCAGCCAAGCACAATTTGAATATCAAATGCCAATAGCAGACTCCCTGCCCGCAGCCGGGCTTTGTTCGGGTTTTGTAGCAGCTCCTCGCCTCCTAAACCACCGAGGTATTTATAAAATTCTCCATTTTAGTTGAAATATGCATAGGCAATGGAGGCAACAGCAAAGCCTTCTAGCTAATTGCAAATGGCGAGCAGGCATGCAAGCAGCAGAAACACCTGCTTGCTACCTGCTTGACTTCCATCCCCCTTGCCATTCATGGCAGTGCAGATGTGGGCGACGTGTTGCTTTTCTTCAAAGCCGACTGACCTTGCCCAATGGAATGTCACGCAGTTGGTCAGTGCTGCTCCTTTGCCTGCTGCTCTTGGCTGCTGCTCCTGCGGCTACTCTGTATTTTTTCATAAGCCTCATGAATAATTCAGATAGCACGCTTCGATTATTTACTTCATAAACATTCTGCTAGAGTCATGCTTGCCTGTGTGAGAGTACACCTACATATTCTATGAATAGAATATATAGGTATGCTTCTTGACACTGCGGGGGCAATACGGGGTTTTAATTTTTTAAATTGTTTTGTTCAGGCCGGCAACATGCAATGTAAATTTTTTATTATACAAAATGCCTTTTAGTTATTTACTAAGTTGTTAGGCGGTCGGTCTCGGATTGCTTGCTATCTGCTCGGGAAATTGATGGAAAATGCCGATTAGCTTAGGTGCATATCTGTCGTATGCTTGACTTGATTACTTAACCAATAAGTGACTTTGCTGGGCACATTAATTACATCAGCTAAAAAGTATGTCACGAAATTAAATTTAATTACAGCTTCATTTGGGGGCAAAAGTTAATCAAAAACTCAATGAGCAGCTCATAAAAACAACAGCCCCGTATCTATTACATGTTGTCGAGGCAACGTAATCGCTGAAAAATTAATACGCCGCAGAGCAGCAGCAGCAGGAGTAACAGCAGCAGCAGCAGGAGTAGCAGCAGCAGCAGCAGGAGTCTGCCAGCCACGTCGATGAAGCAACAAGGATCGGTGAAAGTCGTAAAGCACGTTTGGGTCGTATTACACCGCCAATGGCTGAGATAGGAGCTAGCAGCGTATAAATTGTTGCGTTGCCACAGTAAAATCAATTTCAAGTCGTTAAGCGAAATGAACCTTATGAAGAGTTTTCTTTCTATGGCTGGTTTTTTACGGAAGTGAAAGTTTATCAAATCCACGCTCACACACACCCACACGCACACAGGCACAGAGGGGCCATTAGCAGGCCTGATCGTTGCCTCAACTCTGGATGTGTAATCGAGCCATAGCATCGGCAGCTGATGCGATTATTATTGATTTTACTTGAACTAAAATTGGTTGGATTGAATTATTTATGGGTAGGAGCTATTAGAGTCAAGTGTTCTTATGGCTAGCAGAGAGGCTCCCAGAGGCTAATTGCATTGAAACTCTTATCGGGCATAGGTCAGACGTGACGCTCATAACAATTCCATTTGATAATAAGTATCTTTGCTGCCAACTATTTGCTTAGCTCTTGAATTCAGATTCAATTTACAAATTTTAAGAAAATATAAATCAATTTGCTTGCACAAACAGAGAGCTGTCCCATGAAATTTACATCCATGCAAATATTATGCCAAACGCTGGCTGCCACAACAGCAACAGTGCGTGGGGGGAGGATGGATGGCCTTCACTGCATATGCTTAATGTGCGCACATGTCCATATAAATGTAATAGTTATAAGAGCCACCAGCAGCAAGCAGAGGCAGCAACAACAACAACAAAAGCGAAAAGCGACAAGTGTGTGTGCTCAGTGCAACCTCAATGGCAGGTCTAGCCACAGGCAAACTTAAGTTGTGAACACGAACACACACTCACAGACACACACACACACATAGACTTACTCATGGCAGAGAAGCGGGGCAGAGAGATGATTTTGCCTGAAGCTGAGTGACTAACTGGCTGTCAGACTTGGTGACTGTCTCTGGCCAGAGCCGTCTTTCTGTCTGTCCATGTGTCTGTGTGTCTCTTTGCCTTCCGGCCCGGTTGCCTGACTTGCTGGCTGCCTGACTGCCTGACATGTGACGACTTTGACAATCCAGAAGAGGCCGTCGCCTGCAAACGACCCTTGCCGTGATTTTAACTTGCACAAAGACGCTTTTCGCATATTTAATGAAACTTTTTGGCCGACAAACTCTTGAATAGACCAACTCGCGACTTTAAAACTTAACGCCGCCAATACATAAGTGCTCAGAAGTTGTCAATAAATTGTTGCCAAAATATGAGCGCCACGGGCAAAGTTTGCCCAGCTTAGAGTATCGAAGTTAACTTGAGTGGCTAAAATCAGATTATAGAAAACATTGGCACACATGCACCCGGTTAGCCGTGTCGCCTGCCTTCCGTCTCGTGTGGCTCTAATGTTCGGCAATACAATTCAGTTATGCTGCAGGTATTAGACATTTGCCAAATGACTGGAACAATTTGGCACAAATTTGGCGCAAAGACAATCAAAAAGTTATAAAACAAGCTTCGGCGAAAACGAAAACAATGGAGAGCTGCGGCCCGAATTCCGCAAAGCTCCAATGCCAAATCCCCCAACCAGCGCATGGCCAGAGCGCAAATGATGCTGAGCTACGTCTGCTGTAGCTGCGGTGGTAGCTGGGATACGATCTTATTGGGAGCTCTGCCGTGTGTGTATCGAGCTGTAAAAACTTTGGGAAACTTTTTTTTTTTTTTGATACTTGTCGGCTTTTGCTTGTTGTACCTGGAGCCGGCATTGCGTATACGCCACGTGGTGCTATTATCAGCCGCATCAGCGGCACCGTAAAGTAAATGCAAAGTGTGCAAAGTCTATAAACGAGCGGCAAACTTAAAAGCCCCAAGGTGGCAGCACCTTGGCAAGGACGTTAGGGGCTTTAGCAGGATGAGGAGAGCAAGTGCGAGCGAGAGGCCAATACCATACTGAGGCTTATCCACAAAAGCAAAGGCACAGAAACAACTGGGCCTATCAAAAAGTTGCTCATACGACAAATTGTCAACTGCGTTGCTAGCAACAACAACAATGGCAACGGAACATGGAAAACGAATTTTATTTTTTTTTAGCTTTTGCGATTATTTATATTATTTATGATGTTTTGGGCAATGTCGTTAAATTGAGGCCTTTAGAAAGGTTTCCGCATGTGTGGGACGGATGGCAACTGCCTAAAGGCGCCACAGAACTGAAGAGAAAAATATTCTACAAAACAATTACATCTAAGTGCGGCACCTTAAATATTCATGAAGCGGAAAGTAATTGCTAAGCTATCCCCACTCCAAAAATAAATAAATAAATAAAACAGCTCACCACAAATTTTAATAAACAGTATTGTTAAATTGACGTGCCCCAAATGCTATGCAAACGACAAAAACACTTTGTCCCACAGCCAAGAGCTCAGCTGTGTATTTAGCGAAGCGTGCCTTCTGTCAAATGCACTAAATTGAAAACTATTAAAGTGTCAACAAATAATTACGCATGGCAGCAGCAGCAGCAGCAGGATAAATC